ACGTCCTGATGTGTCTTTTCTTTGCCTGGGTGTCTGTCTCGTCCTTTGCGTCTTGTCGCCTGGGTGGAAGACTGACACTGTTCCTCCAGCAGCTCTTTCACCCGCTCTCTGTGTCGGTTTGGTGCGGCTTGTGTCGATGCGAGTCGTCTGATTCCTACGCAGCGGGGGATCGAATGGCCGCTGGAGGAGCGGAATTTCCATCCGGTCGACGGCACTGTGTTGATGAGTGAACATGTCGTTGCAATGCATTGGATGGACCGGTGCTCTATCGAATGAATGGCCATGGATGGCGGGATGGAGACCTTTGTAAGAGAGAGACCCTCTGACATGAAAAGGATTCGACGCGACGCATCGGTGCCTGCAAGCACCTCTAGTACTGACATTTGTGGGTATTCCATCCCTCTGCATCGACCAACCAGTCACACACTGTCGTGTCTTCGTCGGCGCTCATCGATCGCACACTTGCCGTCAGTCAAGCCAACACACACTCCCTGCATCAAACACCATCATTGCGCGCACACGTCACTCCCACCCAGCCACTTTGCCACAGACAGACAGACAGACAGACAGCCATGCCGTGTGCACACACACACACTGTGCAGACGCACTCGACTCCCCCGCCCCCTTGATTGAATCTGTCTGTCTGTCTGGCGTGGGTGCTTGGCTGCAGGCCAGGCCACCCACACCGACAGACAGACACAGACAATATAGACGCACACGGAAACAGGGAGAGAGAGGGGCTTGGCTGGCTGTTTATCAGAGGGAGGGGCTTGGCTACTGTATGTGTGGGCAAGACAGACAGACAGACAGACGAGCAGACGAGCAGATTGACTGACTGACTGGGTGGTCGATGGGCTGGCTGTGGTGCCACACGAGGCGATTGATGGATGGATGGATGAATGGACGCTCGCTTCCACATTTCACGCGCTTGACACATTTACTCTCTCTCCAAAAAGAAGACAGACGCGTCACCGAACAAACAAAGCACCCGAGCCGAGCGACAAGGAAAGGAAAACATCACAGCGCGGAGTGGACCCCCCGCACCCACACACCAAGTGAGTCGACAGACAGAGTGACAAAGGGAAAGGGAAAGATATACATATCGACGGACACACTGACTTCCCTTGACTGACTGGCCCCAACGGATCGACGACCGACGGCAAACACACTGACTGACTGACTGACTGCACCCGTGCCCCCATCCATCCATCCGACCGACCGACAGACTGAACCTTAGCCTCATGGATTTTGTCCATCGCTGCCCCTCTCCTCAGCTCTTCAAGGAAGCGGCCAGAGGAAGGAAAAAGCAGCATGTGTGTAATGGGCTGACTGGTTAACTAATTGCGAGGCGGTGTGGGGAGAAAACGAACAAACACCAACACGCATTGCCCCGCATTGCATTGCATTGCCCCCGCCCTGCCCTGCCCTGCCCGTCGATCCACCGCTACCCATCAATCCCCCGCTATCTCCTGGAGAACGGCAAGGTCAGGGCAGCAGTGGACTGGCTGACTGACTGGCTGGCTGACGGGCGAGGGAATGCGCTGACTGACTGCGGTGCGTATTCCATCCCACTCAAAAGAGACCGACCGACAAACGACGACAGCCATCCACCCACCCACCCACCCACCCACAAGAAAGGAAGAACAAGGGACACTCTCCAAAAGAAGACAGGCCAACCATCCGTGGCGAAAAAAACCGATAGGTCGACGACGACAAAATGAAACCCGCGACAGCCACCACCCCACACTTGGCATCGCATCCATCTCATCTCCCACCCATATATCCCACCGACCAGCCGAGCTATTTGTCCGTCCGTCCGTCAGTCCGTCTGTCTGTCTGTCTGCCTCGCTCATCGTGTGGCCGTCTGAAAGGAAACGTGAGACCACCCCTCCCGCCATCCCATGCATGTCTCGATCCCTTCTCGTCTCGTCTTGTCTGTCCAGACCTGGCAAGGCACTCCCGCCCGCACAACAGTCATCCATCCATCCATCCATCCGCACCGGCACACACACTAAACGGCATCAAAAAGAAAGAAAGGCGTCCACTCCACGACAGACATAAATCACAGTGTGCACTCCAGACAGACAAAGGGCATCAGACGACAAATCGGTCAGTCAGCCAAACGTGCATTGCATTGCAGCACACCACACCCATGCAGCACACGACAGACAACAGACACCATAAATCGATGCAGACAGACTGTGTCATCCATCCATCCATCCATCCCCCTGTGAGTGTCACGGCATGTGTGGTGCCGTTGATCCATTCATCGTTCCTTCCCTCCCCTTCGATTGGTGGTGAGTGTGTGTGTGTGTTTGGGTGTGTGTCTGTTGTGCCCTCTCTGGCGCATGCTCACACACATACAGACCGACAGCCAGCCAGACGGACAGAATCAAAACACATCACACATTCATCAGCCAAGACAGCCAGACAGACAGCCAGACAGACAGGCCGACGGAGATAGGTAGGTAGCTACGAGAAGCGGTCCGTCCGTCTGTGGGAGTGTTACGTGGATGCAGGTAGGCATTGCAAGGGCGTGGGTAGACAGACAGGCAGACGTGTGGCTGGGCTGCCTGCCACTGGTGGGTGGCACAGCACAGCACAGCACAGAACGCCTCCCCTCCCCACGCAAGCCCACCCCACCACAACTGACTGCGTCTGGTCAACTAATGCATATACCGTACGACTGACACGGGTCAGATCAGGTCACACCACCTTCCGCTTCTTGCTCCGGGTGTTGTACTTGTGCGTGGGCTCACTATGATCGGCAGCGGTAGCAGCAGCAGGAGCAGGCAGAGCGGTGCGCTGGCGCTGGTCCGTGTGGTGTGTGGTGGGCGCCACAGCTGTCGTCTCCCTCGGCCGCTTCTTGCCCTCCCCCGCCTGATGGTTCCTCTTTCGCCACTTGGCGCCTCGCTGGCCTCCCTCGTCCAGCTCAGTGTCCGCCGCCCTCTTCTTGTTGCCCTTCTTGTTGTTCTCTGTCTTGCGGGC